AGCACACTGTAAAGTCTCCCAGCTACGGCACTTGGTGGATCGTCACTGGCTTCTCGTCTTGGTCGATTCAACATTTTCATTTAACGATAATATCTTGGCTTGCTTGATCCTGGTTCTCATCAACGACTCTCCATTTTGATGCAGAAAGATTTGGCATTGGCTGCCCAAAGAAATGCTTGGAATTTTGCTAACTTGGTTCTTTTTATCGCAGCTGATTGCTGTCTTTTTACTTGGACCCTTCCAAGATGAGACACATTGTCTACACTGCTCGTGAATTGTTGCGTCTACGTCACAAGCCTCCCCAAAAAGTGATTTCGCGCAAACTTGTTTCCAAGGTCCTGGAAGACAGAGAATTAGGTACGTTTCAATCTTTTTTTAACTCCTACAATATGAACTTGAAATCTAATTTTGAGCAGAAGAAATCATCCGCACCCCTCTCGTGATCAGTCCATCATTGTCCCTTATTATTGAAGAGGGTAACTCCAGCGACTCTGACGAGATGCATCGACGTCCTGCGCAGCAGCTTGATGGCACCGACTCGGAGCGCAAGTACCGAGGCCGGAGTGATTCTGAGCTCGATCGGGCACCGACTGTTGCTCCAGCAGATCTGGCAACACAGAAATCCGAGGGCTTTCAGAAGTTTTACAACTCTGTTGTTTCCCCCACCCATGTTCGGGTCACTGCCGGTGGTCGAATTGTGCCCAACACTCGAGGACCTCATTCTCCAACATCAAAATGGAGCCGAGAGCGAAGTTCGATCGATGGGCAGAACCAGGCTCGTAACATGAATGGTAGTCAGCCTGAGGGCCTTGCTTATCCCGTTTTCCCTCCTAGCTGGGGCCACTTTGCTCCCATAGTTCCTCCACATGCTTCAGGAACTTTACCAGGGATGGCACTTCGACCTGAAGGGTTCCCTTTTATGCCTCCCCCTATGGGCTATAACTTGGCTCCTGTTTCATACAATCAGTTTCCTCCCTCTGGTCTCCCCATGCAACTCCCAAGCCAAGCTGGTCCTTATGGCAAGCTTCCGGACGCGGGTATGGAACAGACGCGAAATATTCACCTCTCTCCTGCTGAGCAATTTGATAATTCCCGTCCATTCTTCTACAACGGACAGTGGTGGATTGCAAATGGAGGCGCTCTATATCCTATCAGCATGCCACCTCAGATGAGCTTTGCCCCTCCTGCTGTACCCAGTCCTTCAGCTCCTCGCCCCAGTGGTGATTTTAATGTCGCCCCTGCTCGATTTGGACGCCCACCATCGCGACAGCCTGAGCCATTGCCTCTTCGCCTACAGAATGATCCTTCACGCTCCGCCAGTCCTCCCGTGTCGTCAATTCGCCCGAGCTCGATCACGCAGAAGCAGCTTGAGGTTCTTCGCAGCCAAAAACGGTACCACGAAGACCAACTCCGATACAACAAGCACCAGATCGATGCTCGAGACATGGAAGATCGGCTTCAGAACATTTGCCGCGAGATTGAGCATTTCGAGCGCATGCTGGCGACTCAGCTGGATTTCGAGTCCAGGAAATACCCGAAGGTTGGGTCTCCAAATGGTCCCCCTTCCAACTCATCCAACGACTATGGTAACAGCAACAGCGAATCTGACGGCCCAAACGCAGTCAATCCAGTGCAGCCCTCAAGTTTCGAGAATCAGTCGCCAGTCGACAAGACTGACCCTCGCTCTGTGAATGTTCATAGCCGACTACCAACCGCGGCAGTCACTTCGGTCAAGAACTTCAGTAATGCTTCGAGGCATGATGATGTACAACAGCGCAAACCATCAAGGCTTCCGATCAATGCTGCTTTAGCACCTGTCTTCCAGCCGCGCTCGGATCCATCAACCTCTGCTGTCGCAGCCGATCAGGTAGAAGAAGTCGACGAGGTCGCGCAAATTCGGCAATACGAACGCATGTACAAGAACGCCGAGGGCTGGCGAACGTTCTTCAGGAACAAGCTTCATGCTGACAAAAGCATGGGCCCCCCTTATCTCATTGGGAAGCTCAAACCAGGAGTTCAGCCAGAAAACGCCAGAGACACCGACTATGTGTACGATCGCGAGCTGACGGCGGATGAAGAGCGCGCTCGCTTCATGTATTGGGGAAGGGCACCTTTTATCTTCGAGAATGGACTCCCTTTGTATGACGGCAAGAATTTCTATCCACCTTGCGTTATTAAGGAGGAACCTATGAGCGCTGGTGAATCTGTTTCTCAAAATGCCTGCGGGCCAAATGAGTCAAAGGCGTCGCCTATGAAGCCTGATGAGGTTGATCCTTTCCATGCTGTCTCCGAAGCTGCCAGGTCTTCTGCCCGTTACGGCTTTGATGAGGCTACTCGCTCCGAGTCTTTGCATCGTACTGACGACTCTCTTCAAGCAAGCTCAACTTCTGAGATGCCTCGCTCTGAGTCTCATGTTGCTCATACAGGAAGCCGATACCTGGAATTTCGCCGTGTGATCAATGAACGTCCACGAAACTCGAGTGAGAAGTTATGTGCCAGAGTTTCAGACGATTCGGGTGACGAAGAGGGCAACCTTATTTTCAAAGGGCGCCGAGTTGATCGCGATGCGAGGTATGTGAATAACTATGCTGCTCGATGCGGCTGATGCTAACTTTTTTCTCATAGCAAATATCCGAAAGACATCTGGTCCACTATGCGAAAGAATGGGAAAACGAGCGCAAACGTGGTCGCAGGACAGGTCTCCCCCATGACTGTTCAAGGTGTGCTGCCTCATTACGCCGGACATGCCACTGCGTCCTTGACTCCTGCTGTTACTACCAACTCTCGTGGTCATAGTGCCAGGCTGGGAGACGTGAATGATTCCCCAACAGCAAACATCACTGTCGGAAGACGTGAAGAGAACAGACCACCGCTTGAACTTCTTGATCAACAATTGCACGGCGTCAGCCTTCAGAACAAAAGCCACCATGGGTTCTCTACTCGCTGAAGAACTTCCCTCTCGCATTCTTTCTTGACAACCTTTCCAATTTCTTGGACTCGGGACGATCGATGATGCCGCAACTTCCTTGCTTTCAATAAGCATCAGCCATTGCTCTTATGATTACAATTTGTATTACTTACTGCACAGCTTCTTTCACATGCTTCTCATGGCTCAAGCATGGTTTCACGGTCCACCACTAAGCCGGTGGCCTTTGCATCTGGTTGAATCGGTCAACACTTCATCAAATACAGCGCCTAGCACACAGACGCGCAGGCAACATCAGTGTTAGAATACTTAATATGTTAAGATTTCAAGGGTCATGGACAGACGTCAAAAAGTTTGCCTCTATGTCCAGAATAAGTGGTAGATGGATCATTCTCATCGAGGGCATGGATTATGTTCATAGGACTCTGTTAGATACGTTTGCTCACAAATATATTGCTAGCAATTAGACTCCCTCTTTGCTCAGGTTCAGTGAGTGAATGCTCCTCAGTAAGCAATGTACAGTACACGACTTGTTGGGACACTTGAGTGAATGATGATATGTGACGAATGAGAAAGGCATGGTGTTTAATTGCAAAGTACTAAAGAATAAGGCTAAAAGCATGTACCTCACCTTCAAATTTCCAGCCTCATTGGCAACTCGGTGAAAATCTTCTAGGGAGAGCAGGACCCCATGATAGTAGTTGGATCCTGCTGGGTTTACTCTTCGCTAGACGTATACCTCGAAAACCATAGATCTAAGTGGTTGACGCGGAGATATCCTAGCGGTGGATATAAAGTCTACAACTTACCGCGCAGAGGCACCGAGGTGCGACTGAAGTCTACGACAGACAGGCATTGAATTGAATGCGTCTGATGTTTGGGTTAGCATCCTACAAGAGGACAGATGGGCCAGCCACCTGTCCAACATAACATCACGAGGGGACTCGCGAATGTGCATGTGGGGAGAGCAGGTCAAGACTTCGGGATAAACCTCCCATGGAGCATTTCACCAGTTGAGTGAAATGGCCATTGAGAACCCTAAAAATTCTCAATTCATCTACCCTGCTGTAGACCAGGTACCGTGCGGTTAGAAGGAAAGCACGTAGGTATCGTAAAAAACGCCGGAGTAAAATGCCCATTTCCTCATCAACTTTTGCCCTTTGAGTTGCTCACATTGATGTCGTGATTATGTGAGTGGTGAAAAAAGAAAAGATTCGTCCTCGCCAGGGAGGAGGTTTGATCGTGTCGTCTTGAAGGTTTTGGTGGTTTGGCTTTTGTTGTTGCTCGACAAAGTTCATCGCTTAAGCGGTGACCTTGTTGTTGGCAGCGAGCTCACGGCCAACCTTGGAGCGGGCCAGGATGTCCTCACGGTCCTTGTCAAGCTTGAGCTTGGTGATGACAACGTTGGAGGGGTGGATGCCCAGAGGGACGGACTGGCCGTTGGCCTTGTCGCGGGTGACACGCTCGACGTGGACAACGTACTTGAGACGGTACACGGAGGTGATCTTGCCCTCACGGCCCTTGTTGGAGCCACGGACAATGGTGACCTCGTCGTCCTTTCGGATGGGGATAGAGCGGACCTAGGCAATGTTAGGGATGAGAAATTGAGGTAGAGGTCGTCAAGACTCACGTTGTACTTCTCACGGAGCTCCTTGGAGAGGGGAGCGCTCATGATGACACGGCGCTGGTCAGAGGGAGCCTTGAAGTGAGCGGCACGGCTCTTGCGTCGAGAAGACGAAACGACTGATTGAGGTCAGAATGAAGAACATCAATGCAGTTTCTGCTTATGAAGCTACTCACGGTGGTTGATCTTGGTCATTTTGTCGGCGGTTGGCGAGGACGACGCTGGTGAGTTAGTTGAGCGTTGGGCGATGAAGAGCGGATTGACAAACAAGAGAAAAATTCGAGGAGAAAAAGTTGTGTGGATTTTACTGAGTTTGTGGGCACGTGAATGAGTTACCCTACCGAGACAGGGGTGCTTCCTGATTGAGCTGAAGAGTTGGCTGAGTCAGCGCTTGCGGGCCGCATTTACTGTGTCGGGGCATTAGAATGCCGTTTTCCTTGCAGGTATTGGCGTCAAGTTGATGAGAGATGAGAAGAATTTGCATGATGTGGAATTGACAATGGTATTTTTGAATAATTTTGAGACTTTGTAGTAGGAAGTTTGATCCTAGAAAGGAGATGCAGTTCATTGACTTGGATTCATGTAACAAAGAGTCATAATCGTCATTGTCAAAGCAGATGTGTCTAATTCGAAATAACTGTATGGTATGCATATATTTTACAAGAGGAGTGTAATGTACATTTAACTCAACATGTTGGTCCCAACTACGAAGACATGGGCCTCTGGAATCGCCCATTGTTATCGTATCTTGCTTCTACAAGGGTTGTTAGCATTTCTGTCTTCGTTGTGTGACTGGAGAACTTACTGAAGAAAGTGTAGCTCAATGTCACAGTCTCTACGCCCCTCATGTTCATATCATTGAGCAGATCAGGATCCAGGTAGAAGAACACGGGCATATCCACAGTCTCTCCCGCATTGAGGCGCTGCTCCTCGAAGCAGAAACACTGGATCTTGCTAAAGTATGGCGCACACTGGGCAGGTGTCACACTGTACGTCGCAACTCCAATGATGTCCTGGTCGCTTGTATTGGTAGCCTTGTAGAAAGCCAGCGCGGTCTCGCCGGGGAGAACTCGCACTTCCCGCTGTTGAGGGACGAACTTCCAGGGCAGGACATCGGAGACTGAGGCGCTGAAAGTAACCTTGATGCGTTTGGCATCTTTGACGGGGACGAGTCGGCTTGCGAGGTCGCCTTCGTCGCCTGACCCTGGACCGCCGTGGGCACGTATAGGTTGACCACCCCAGCCGGTAGTCTGGCAGATCTGTACATGTATTAGAAAGGCATCGTGATATTGAGGGGGTAAGGTCTCACCATCTTGTAGAGGGGCACAGAGCCATAAGTGAGAGCTACAAATCCGAGAATTGTACTCAAAGTATAGTACCTAATAATCGTAAGCCACGACCTCTTCAGTCCCATGTTCAATCGTACGCTATCGTCCTGTTCTTCTTGCTATAATGCGCACGAATCTCCTCCATCGTAGGTGTATAAGGCTGTCCCGGCCTGCGGGCGTTATTCGATGCATTGCGGGCAAAGTTGAAGGCATTTCGCTGGGGTTTCGGTCGGGCATTCTGGCAGACAAAGCATGACCATGGTGAAGAAGCCCCTCGGGCCGAGCTCCGCGCAAGTCGAGGCGCTGCGTTCATGGTCAATTGGGGTCAATGGGTGGTTTTTGTTGGTGGTGGAAGTGTAGCTTTGAGTCGGATGATCTTTGGGGATTTCTGGGTGACGTCGGGGATCGGGATCTGCAATGCCGATGGTGGGAAGTGAGCTACCCTGTGGAAAAGCACCGATTGATCATGAAGTTCTGGCGTATCTGTTAATTGCTTAATTTCGTATATCGCATTTAATATTCCTTGTGGTATTCCTCTTGAATTGTCACTTTGCTCTATTTATCGGCTTGCAAGTAGACAACTAGACTTTACATTACACATGAATGACTGGTCAAGAAAGGTTTCCATGTAAGTGGCCTCGCAAGTGGATTTTCGATACTCAAAAAGCAAGATGTTAGGTTTGCCTTTATTTTCTTTATCTTCTTTTATTTTCTATTATCATTCTTTAATAACTCATTTCCGATCTTGAATGTGTCAACTATGCCGTCCAGCCGTTAACAGCCGCGGAGGTTTGAGTTCAATGGCTAACTACCTACCATAACAAGACAATTCATCCGTTTGCGGTCCCTGACACTATTATATGTCACTCCGAAGCACGTGCCATTTAGGCACTTCAGATCTCCTATGATCATCTTTTAGCAGGAAGTTCGGCAGTGTCTGTGGGCCTTGAATCCCTGCCTCAATGGCTACGATTATTAGCTCGTTCGTATTTGAGGTTCTAGACACCTGCATCGTTTAGCCCTGTCGGCACTACCGAACTTAATGTAGATGCAGCAGGAGGCCTCGATTATGCTTTAGCAGTCGGTTTCTTGGCAGTTGGAAAGCTTCTTTTTCGGATACCATCGTGATGGTATCACCTCTTATGTGCTGTGGCTTTAACAGTTTAAAGGGAGTACGCATTGAGTGGTTCTATTGGTTGCACTTACACGGTGGCACATCATAACCACTTACACATTGAACGGATCGATCTTAATAAAATCTTAGTATTAAATAAGACCCACGCAGCCACGGCAGTGACTCTTCAGGTGTGAGATAATAGACGGAAAGGTACTTTACTTAGCTACTCGTTTCAACTTGACTCCTAATGGAATGGAATCCTACATGGACCACGGATTGGCCTTGGACCCGCCGCCACGAAAGCTGTAGGCAAGGTAAGATGCGAAAAACCTTAAATAAAACCAAGCCCAAAACATGTGCAACACCAAAGAATTCGCAATGTTTCTCGCCATTGACTACCTTTATCCTCTTGGGTGATTGGCCATGGAGCGAACAGCAGAGGATAGACACAACAACCCGCATTCAGCTCTTGAGCTGGAGAGGTTTCATACACCAAAAGAAGAGTTCCAGACCCAACCACATCATGACTACCAACGAGATGAATCGAATCCTCTCTGCAGGTCAAACTCAACGCCAACGCCAGGCTCGCCACAACAATCCGATAAAGCAATACACCATCGACGACCAAGTAGGGCGATTGCTCTAGAGAAGCTTCGAAACCGTCCAAAGAAGCTACGGAAGGCTCTAATTGCAAATATCTTGAGATGGTTCGCTTCTGTACTGTTTGTCGTCGCCATTTACGTTATATTATGGTACTACTCGAAGCTAGATATCATGTCAACAACAACAAAGCGAGAATTCAACGCTCTTATTATCGGACTCTCCCTCGGTCTTGGAATGAGCATAACGATATCTCTGGAGGCAATGGCTGTGGAGATAAGGTATTGGATAATCAGTCTTCGAGACTGGTCCGATCGAGAGGTAAGTCAGGCTTTACAACTGAAAGGATGAATGATAACTGATACCTGGTAGACTGAGTTGATATTGAAAGCAAAGGACTTGACCAAGATCATCCAACTAACCTGGGTATCTAAATCACGTTCACTACGGTCGTACGCTGTAGCTTTTATAATACTCAACATAGTATCCCAGATTGCCTTGGCGATGCTAGGTCTCGTCTACTCAACAAATACAGCCGACTCGGCTGCAATTCTACATCCTGGCAATGTCACAATACCAGACATGTCCAACATCGCCACAAACAGAGTTCTCTCAAACAAGTCACAAAACAACTCACAAGCGCTCGGTGCCTTGCGATATACTGCAAACAGGTATACCGATGTCCCCAGATGATCCTTGAATAAACACTAACCAAGTGATTAGTTATGGCACTATCGCTCTTGGAGCTGTCTGGGGAGGCATGGACGATATTCCTAAACCTGGAACACTGTGGGACAACAACGATCCTTTGGCATTCTGCGGCGGAAAATCTTGCACATTCGTCTTCCAGGAATCGGCTTCAAGACCTAAGAAATACGATCTCGTGGTGAGCACCAACAGGAGCGTTGAGGCCACAGGGTATTGCCGCAGCTGGAAAGTCGCAAAAGGAGGCAACGGAAACGAAATCTCCATCACAATCGACGATGATAAGAAAACAAAAGTCAACATCACAGCCATAAACGGCGTCAACCAAACAACCTTCATGTTCAACGCCGCGGCACCCCAAGGCCAAACATGGAGCGAAGTCACGGCCTTTGAAGCCTCAAGTTCTCAAGCATGGTTCTACCGCTGCAACGTAAGCGTAGCACCCGTCGTCAACGCCATACGCAAAGAGCACTACATCGGAACCAACATCACGTCCCTGGCTACGTCAGCTATAGCGCTACAAGGATATGGAGCTTCTTCGCTAGGTCCTACGAATAGCGATCGACAGTTCCAGAGTTATCCTGCCGAGTCCTCGTATGGACAGCCCCTGAATGGGAGTACAGAAGATATGGGGCAGTTGATGTCGGCTTTCGCGATTGGTGTGATAGCTGTTACGGCGCAGGCTGCTACCGGCATAATAGTTCCGGGGATGCAGCCTGAGAATGGCGTTGTGTTGCAGATTACTAAGTGGATGTATGTCCATCTCATCTTGGGGTTGAGTTTGGGTGTGCAGTTGTTATTGGGTGTTGGTATTGCGATACTGTCCAACCTACCTTCGAGGTAGTTGCCACGACGTTTGAAAGTGCAATGGTGTTTGCTTTAAATTATGGTTATATAGGCAAGCGAATAATGATGAGATTTTGACCAACCCATAAATACCATTGAGTATGTTATCCACGTATATGTACTACCATATCTTGCTACTCTCCCGTGACCCATTTGCATTTGATACATCTCGAATTGCAAAGACACGTCACCTCATTGTACCATCAGGGTTCTATGACAAGGTTGGTTGCAAGTCGAGTCACCACGTAGTCATATTGCGCGGAAGTCATGAGAATGCTATGGTTTGAAGGCCTCACGTTTAATGCCCAAAGGTGGAGCAGAAACACTTTGGCTTTGCAACAAGTGTGCTTATTCTAACTTGCGAGCATAGTATACCATCAAGTTTGCCAAATCAAGAGTGTGAAAGAAGAAATGATATCGAATTCAGTAATCATGCAATATAAAACCTGCCTATGCAATCTCATCGCTTTATGCTATATAACTTAACCTCAGGTGCACGCCTGCAAATCAGAAAACTACCAATCTTAAAGAACTCTTACCAAATAGACACACAATTCATTTTTATCGATGCTTTCCGTTCGCAAACCTCACCCTGTTACCATTCACAAGCCGTTGACGTGGAGAAGGACTGCTACCGACCAATCGTTCGAGGATTTGAACCACAAAAACCTGAATCACCAAGATGATCAAGCGTAGCAAATGGTCAATGAGACTTAGGCTTGGTATCTTGCCTCGGCTGTATGTTGAATCGGTAAACTCGAATGGGATCTTCGCGCCCAAATGTTCTTGGGCTACTTCCAGTCCGCTGCTGAAACCATCCTCATGGAGACCGTATTTGGTCCACGCGCCGGCATAACTAATACCGCGAGTGTTTTGGATGTGTTTTAGAAGTTTCTGTGCTCGAACGGCGGATGATGTGTATATAGGTTGCGAGTAGTAATAACGTCCCTGCGTTTTTGCTGGCTTTGGCCTTTGAAGTGGGTTCAAAGTAACGAAGACGTCTCCAAATGTATTTCGAGGAATGTGCTGGAGGATATTCATGTTGTAAGTGAGTGAAACCTGGTTGATGTTTCCCTTTCGTGAAGGCGGTGATGACACTGCAAGATAATTCCAGCTGGCCCAAGCCTTCTTACGGCGAGGCATCATATCAAGATCGGAATGAAGAACGACTTCATTTTGCGACGTCTTGAAGCTGGACATAATGGAACGTTCTTGTTCGCTGGCGGATGACTTGATGATATCGAATGCCTCATCACCATGTGTGGCGAGAATGACGTGGTCGTATAGAGCTGATGAACCGTTTTCCAGGTGCAGCCTAACTTGACCGTTGCTCTCAGTCGTAACATGTCTGACTGGTGTCTTGAGAAAAAGATGATTGGGAGGGAAGCCCTTCATGACGGCATCGACATATGATTTAGAGCCGCCCTCTATTGTTAACCATTGAGGGCGTGCTCTTATTGTGTTTAGTAAATGATGATTCCAACTGAGACATGATTAGCATGGTTCTGTACAGTGAGAAAATCCAACTCACAGAAAGCGCACGAATGTCGCTGCGGGGAACTCCAGTGAGCACTTGTCAGGACTCGTGCTCCATATTGATGCCGCCAAAGGAAGAAGATAATCGTCTCTAAAGGCGTTGGAATAGCCTTCAAGCTCCAGGTATTGCCCAATTGTGATGTCTTTGCAGGTACAGTTTGTCGCTTTATTTAACACTTCAATGCTCGATATGTCGTCTTCGTCATCGCTCAAGATATCCAAGGCGAATTGGTTGAAACGGAAAATGTCGAAAAGCATTCGCCACATTCGCGGTGAGAGTAAATTTCTTCGTTGACAAAATAATGAGGCTGGACTAGAACCAGACCATTCGAAAGCGCCGCGATCTCGGGATAGACTGAATGTTAGGTCTGTAGGTGTAGTCTTGACGTTGATCTTTTCCAAGAACTTGGTAAAGTTGGCTAAGAGCTTGGTGAGCTTAAGCGCATAACCGTTCAAGGGGACAAAGACTCACGGTATGTGGCGGCGTTTAAAACATGAAAGCCTGTATCGACTTTTGTCGAAAACTTTCCCTTTTTGAAATCGACTGTGTTTGTATGACCGCCAAACCTGTCGGAGGCTTCGTAGACGTAGACATCATGATAGGTCTTGTTCAAGGCCCACAGAGCACCTATTCCAGCAGAGCCGCTGCCGACAATAGCGACCTTTTTCCTGCGGAAGCGATCAGTCGGAGAGCTCATTGTATCAACTGTCGGTGTAGCAGACAATAGAGGGAAGGGTTTGCTCTGTTCAAGAGGGTGTACAAGACATATCTATCTTGAATAAAGAGACAGAGACAGAAACAGAAACAAGCAGAGAGAGCAAAGAGAAAAGCATGTGACAGAGCCAAGCCCAATACTCCAGTTCAGGCGATGATCAATTCATGATTGGATAAATAGCGGTATCGGTATTGGTCTCGCAGCCACAGACGGTGTGAGTTGGCGAAGCTGATTTGATGACGAGGCAATGAAATAGATTTTGGGGGGTTGGACAACGGAAGCAATGCAATAGTGGAGGTCACCATGACGAGACAAGGACTTACATGTGCTGTGGCTCCAGCATGCTTTAGCGAGTAGCGGATACAGTATCCGAGATGTACTAATAGATAAGACAGACAGACAGATTAGAGTTAGTGGTGGTAATGCCCTGTTTCTGTTTTGTTTTCAAGGGAAGAGAGACAATGGCTTTTGGGATCTACAATATGAGAGTTTGCGGATGGTGGGAGTCAGCGGGAGATGAATGGTCGAACTTCTATTTTTGCTGGGGTTTCCGAGAATGACATCGATGATTATCCCGTCCCAACATTGAGCTTATGACCCACTGAACGAGCACTGAACCTAACACGGACGGAGCTCAAAACCGAAGTGACTCGCGACTCGACTCGACTCGACTCGGTACGGACCTTGTAAGGACCTTGCAAGCTTGGCTGCTGAACTGTCAGCTGGAGCTAGTACAGCTGGCAATGGGTCCTCATCAATGGCAGGATCCGATAGCTCAAGTGGTTCATGTACATGTGGCTGCACTGTAACCTCGCAGGATACCACATCTTGATCAATATCCTGGATGTGGCTTGGCTGAAATGCCGTTTCAGGGTTTTTCACCAGCAGCCTCAAGACCCGAAAATCTCAATCCAACCTCGAAAACTCTATTCGTACAACACGCCGAGTCTGGCAGCATGATAGCAGATCAGATCATCATTTTCACATGCAAAGCATTCAAGACCGCTATTTCATTATACAATCTTCTCAAAAACCTCAAAGTACGGTATGTCGAACACTCAACGGGACTGGTAAACGGTAATTCGAGTCACCAATTCTTAAAAGCGCCGTGCAGGATAAACCTGCCTTCGTCTGCCCAGCTTGTTTCAACCCGACGCCATTGACCGAGGTCGTGGCGCTGAGCCGCTTTTCTTCGCAATCCGGGGTATTCAACTTTCTATGAAGAGAAAAAAAGAAGAAAAAGTCCAAAATTTCATCGCCAACTCTCAGTGATATACCGCCCCAGATCCAATCGTGCACAGACCACTATATCACGTGCATCATGGCATGCTGTGCTCATTGGTCACTTGTCCTCTCATACGCAACCGACCAGGCACTCAGTACTCGGCCTTCCGAACTTGGATCGCTGACGAGAACGTCAAACCATCAACCACTTAGATCCAACATCACCCGAATATTGCGCGTTCGACACGAATTTGATCACAACCCCCAGCAATTCCTATAATTTGGTGTGCGACTCCTGTCACGACCGAATTTCATCGCATTTGCAATCCCAGCGATCTCCTGTCATATCCAGCCTCCTTTCACGATGTCGAACCCTCTCGATACCGATGCTGGCTCTGAGCTCTTCAGCTCATACGAGGCCGAATTCAAGCTCATCCAAGCCGACCTGAACCAAAAGCTGGACCAGATTCCTGAACTGGCTGGTGAGCCTCGCAAGGCCGCTATCAGCCAAGCCGAGCGGGCACTTGAGGAACTTGATGAGCAGGTAGGTCTATCTGGTGTTCAACGTCGCCACCAGTACTCAGATCCATGCTAATGCTTTCGCCGTTCAGCTCAGCGCAATGCGCCTGGAAAAGCAAAACATTCCCACCAGTTCTCGCACCAAGGTCAACCAGCGCTTCCGAAACTACGAATCAGACACAGATGCCGCTCGTCGCAAGTTAACCACTCTCTCCTCCGATCGCTCAGCACTTTTCGGATCGCGATACACAGATGACCCCGCTGGCTCATCGGACATCCACATGGAGCAGCGACAGCAGTTACTCTCGGGGACGGACCGTCTTGACCGAAGCACACAGCGATTGAAGGCCAGCCAGGCTCTCGCCAACGAGACCGAAGCCATCGGCGCAGGCACCCTAGCAGACCTCAGCAGGCAGCGAGAAACTATCGAGCACACTCGCGGCATAATGCTCGAGAGTGAGGGCTACGTGGACAGGAGCGTCAAGACGCTCAGGGGCATGGCGCGTAGGTAAAGTGGCCCACATAGACGTCATGGCAATCACGGAAGAGCTGACATTTTTTGAAATTGCAGGATGGCTACAAATCGGATAATCACCATCTCTATCATCACTGTTTTGGTTATCCTTATTGTTGCGGTCATCTTCAGCAAGTTCCGATGAGGAATGGTTTTGGTTATTGGAGTTTAGGCAGTCGCTTTTTGACCCGGCTTGGCTTGGCTTACAATGGATGCGCTATGCTATTATTGATAATGGGCCTTACGCGTACTTTCGTTTGATGAAGGAGTTTAGCATGCTTAGTGATTTGTAGATGTAGACCGTTTTGTCCTACTATAACAGATTTTGAAGTCACAATGATATGGGAGTGTAATTTGGAAAGATCATGCCCTTGGTACGAAGTCTTTGTCATAGTACCAATAAAAATACTATTAAATCCTACTACAACAACTAAATGAAATCATTCACCATCAATATCGAGTGCTTAAATCGCTCAATTTAAATCAATATGTAGCATAATTAATCAGTTTCAGAGCCTTCACTCGATAACACCTTGTTGAATGAAGCTGCTTGAGCTCTAGTCTCGAGCTACGTAACCAAACAATCACCGAGAAGCAGCCGAGG